TTTACTATCATATTCAAGCCATGGTCGTTTAATTTACAACTACTTTTTTGTGGTATAATTTTTTTCACTTTTTTCCCTAACCTTAAGCATTGACATTTGCTAGGTTGAGGGCCCGTGCTCGTATAAATGCATCTCACGGAATTGGGACTCTTGAATAACAGCAAATTAGAATAATTGGCAGACCTGGACCCCCCCATTTTCTCTCGAATGTAGGCCTGAGCCGCCTTTCTATGCCAGCCTGAGCCATGCATTCATAAAACCCATGCTCTCGACTGAGAAGGATGCTACTGACCCAATTTAACTTTATTTATTCTATTCTCCATGCTACTTAATATTTTACTCTTGCGGAAAATATAACAAATAATTGGGTCCCTTTTTTGCTGATGGGAAGCCACGAAAGTGGATTTTTCTGTTTGATTTTCCAACGCCATTAGACAAATGGTATATTTTATAAGTGTCTCTTTTCTCTCGCACATAAAATTGCAAACAAATTCATATGTACCCTCATGTATTTAATTTGTATGTTTGTGTGTGTTTCTATACAGCCGGAAGCCTGCCGAATACCTTGATGCTTTACCTTGTCGATGTGTTCACTCTGCGCAAGTGCCAAGATGTCTCTGCCTACATTATCGGACAGAAAATGTGGCAACGCAACAACGTTCAGAACGAGGCCCAAGCGTCGCTCGATCAGGCAAATTCTTTTCTGAAGACCAATGTTTCTCAACAAGACCTGTTGCAACTGGGCGAGCAATTCTTGCGGTTGAACGCCACTTGTCGACCACAAGTAGGAATTCAGGTATGCGATATAACCCTATCCTGAACTGTTTCGTCTATTCACCTACATCAATCACCCTTCTTCGGTTGTATGTTGAGTTAAAATGGTTTTTAAGATATGGGGACCTTTCCACAGTTTTGTTTTATTTTATTATGGTTAAAATAGCCTAAAGTAAATGTTCACGCTTTGGCGTCAGTAATCTTGGTATTTTCACTATCATACTAAGTTTTGGGTTGGCTGAGGTCTGAATTTATTGGTAGTTGATAAGTGCAAACGCATCAACTACTTAACGCAGCTTAAAACGACCTTTGAATTAAGAACTTTCTTTTACTCGTGGAGGTCTGAATATTTCTATCGGGGCAAGCGGAATCGCTTTTAACTTCATTTATTTTTTTAAAATCACTTAGCTTTCACAACTAATACAGAAAAATCTATTTTCATACTTTATACCAAACTGTGCGCCGCGGCCTCTTTACAGGGGCGCCGCGAAATATTGTAAAAGCCTCAATTTGAGAAATGTGCAGCGATTTTCAGGCTCATCCATCACATTAATTATTAAATATTAATTCAATACTAATAAAGTATTTTAAAAAATAATAAAGATACCCTAGTTTTATTTATTTTTATCTCTTACTTACGAATATTCATACTTAGAGTGGGGCGTCATGAAAACATTTTAATTAAAAAAGGGCGCCGAGACTAGGAAAAGTTTGGGAAACACTGCTTTATACGATTTGCTGAGGTTTCTTTGGCTGTAGATAAAAAGGTAGTGAATGCCATCATGGGAATGCAAGGAAATGAGAAAATAGGTTTATATGACTTCTCGTTAAGGCTTACCTTCCTTTTGCGTTTTTCAGAGTTGAATGACCCGTGGTTCTATTCTCACTTGGACATAGCGGGAGATTGCATCCGGCCCATTATAAATGGGCCCCTTTGGCACGTTTGTTTCGATGCAATACCCGTGCAATCTCTGAGATATAAGCGATACTATCGGCATTGGATAAATTCCTTATTAATGTTTGGTTTCTGATTTATTAATAACCTAAGCCAGCTTAGGTATCACACACATTAGGTATTTCACATAATCTTGACTTCTACACTTCTCTGGCGCCTGAGGCTTACTCAGTTTACTGGAAAAATTCAGCAGTCACTCCTCTATCATTTTATGCGACCTATCGTCACTAAGGTTCTTCTTCAAGATCTGCTGAAATTCTTGAAACACATTTATATAATATATTTCTTATTTAATGCCATTTCTTGAAATTTACCTCTGCTGAGTTCTGTCATATAGCCATCGGAAGTTCAGTAATTTTCCGGATATCATTAGCATGGTTCTTTAGGACAAAGGTTTTATTAAGGCTCTGTCATAGAAAGCTAAAAGCAATCGTCCAATTTTTTCTTGATTGATCTAGGCTAGATCTGCTTAGTTGAAACTTTAACCCAAAATAAAACATTATTACCACCAAGAATTAGCAGGACGTGAAGTCGAGTCGTCTTATGGAGTTTCGTGACTGTGCGTTATTTGCTGGTTACTTGGCGATGTTTTTGAATTTAAATGGACCTACTTGGCTCTATGGACCATGATGTTTACAATGGTTGCTCTCTTGATATACTTATTTTGAAAAAAGGGAGTCAGTACTTGATAATTTTACTTATAGGAAAATTTTGATTCATTTTTGGGCTAAAAGATGCAGTAAAGTTGGCTGGTTTTGTCGGACCCAATTCAAATTGAGCAGGCCTTGCTGACTGATATATTTATAACTAGTTTTGTGAATACGATTAATAGAACATTTATCAATCAGCTTCGTTATAATGAAATGTTTGGTTGTGTTATTATGAAAATTATCTCCCATTTGCTTTCTAGACGTCTATTTTAATGGTGCTCCTGTTTCTCAATTTATGCACCGTCTTCAAAATTTAACTAAATTTTGCCCTCAATCTTTACGGCCACAGTTTCCGAATACAAATGTATATGCATGCACATTAACGTTCGCATTTAGTATTCCTTTGTTTTTGATTCTCATTTCAGCTCTCTCTTGTCTATTATTTCTCTATCAGCTATTAGCCCATACAATTGTTCAGCCATGCTGGGTGCACCACATTCTTGTATATTCTAGACCTCTTGGCGTACAGAACATTTCTCTCTGTTGGGCTTTTAAAGTGGCTATGCCGCAGTCTTAGTTTCTTCTCATATTTTTTGTCTCAATTTGCCATTGGGTGATATAGAGGGTTTTATTTTTTGCCTTTAGCGATTTTTGTCTTATTTGGTTTCCTTTAAATTCATTATACCAAGCATACTTTATAGGACCATATGATTTGCTCACCAGTTTTATAGCGCATACTTCATTTTAATTGATTTCGGGCTCGTAGAATCTCTATTTTATCGGAAATTTACACATTACTCGCTCCACATGTCATCCAATTTCACATTTGTTATGAAAAATATTGAATGAGGTGGTCTCACTTTATTAACAAGTAGTGGCACCTCCTTCCTCTTCACAATGACATTCTATGACATCGAATACTATCACCCCCTTTTTATTAACAAATTTAGACACTAAATTCTTCAACTCCCCATCAACGGTTCAATTCACTTTGAAACGGCGAAATACTTTGATGCCTCTTAATCCTTGCTGAAAATTTTTATTTATATTTCTGTATTTTTGATAAAATCTATTTTTTATTTATTATTATTGTTTTTATTTTATTGCTATTATCAATCCTTTTTGTTTTCTTATAATATAATTACACTTGCCTATTTATTTCTCGCCATTTGAATACCAGGCCTGTGAATCGTATGGGGGCACTTGCCGGACTCTAATCGACGGCTACTACGTGGAAGCCTCTTTCTGCTTGACTTGTGGACTCGTCTTCTTCTTTCTTCTCCGACCTTTGGCTCATCGACTTGATTGCCTCCCTACACAAGCTTTCGCTTTTAAATTCGTTCCAAAGTCGACTCACTTGGATGCCTCATTCCTTTCTCGATTACAATTCCGCCTTCAACGATTCTTTCGCAGGCTACCTGGCCAGCGTGTTTAACTCCTTTTCTTATCTTCTTCTTTCCCAATTTCTCCTCAGATCCATTTTCTTTAAAACGAGCTGAACTTTGGTTGAAATATCATCTTCAACTTGTTGCAATTTAACAAGCCAACTAGTGCGCCACTTGGAATACGTTTGCGGTTCCTACACTCTTTTGCATAATTATATTAGGGTTGAGGTTAATTAAGTCCTCACATTATATTTAAGTGAAGAAAATTCCAGGAAAAGTCTTGAAGCTGCTGAACACTCGCTTGTTGAATACGAAAGAAATCTCAAAAATATGAATATGCTATTCCATATTTCGCCGTTAATTATACTTATTTCCACACCAATTTAGGCCGGTGCCTACCTCCCGGAGCTGATAAATAAGAACAGAAGAGATTTGCGACGCTTTTCTAGTGATGCTGGTTTACGAGGCTTCGCTTATAACAGCTGCCATGTATAGCTCTGCTATATTTCCTTTTCCCACTACGTGAGCTTATTCAATCTTTCTCTGCTCTACCGTGGGCCACATTATTTCTACCACATCGTTTCTTGTCTATTTATGTGAGCTCTCTTGTAAGCATAACAAATAAATTTGTATTCTAGTGCTACAACAATTGATTTGTGTGTATATCCTTAGCTATTTACTTTACTACTATTATAATCAAATGCTCACTTGTTAATCATATAAATGCTGACAATGCAACGGCTACTTTAACCTCATTTATTATCTTTTTCTCAGTTTTTTTTACCTATTTTACTGTTTCCAATTCTACTTATTTTCTAATTTTTTAAGTTGTACTTGTCCATTTGCATTACGTGATTAGTGTCCACACGGCATTTCGTTGCGGGAAGACTGAAAG